TGCATTCTAAGGCTGGGACGGGTACTCGGGTACTCGAATCCGGGTCGGGTACAGCTGGAATCGAGTCCTATTTCTAGGAATCGAGTATCCGGAAAGGGAGATAGCTCTATAATGACAAGGGCAGACAATAGCTTGTCTTTTTCATTTTTGACTTAACACACATTTACATCCTTGAGTGAGTGAGTTAAGTTTTACGCCGCACTCAGCAATATTCCAGCTATATGGCGGCGGTCTGTAAATAAACGAGTCTGGACCAGACAATCCAGTGATCAACAACATGAGCATTGATGTGCGCAATTGGAAACCGATGACATATGTCAACCAAGTCAGCGAGTCTGACCAACCGATCCCGTTAGTCGCCTCTTACGACAAGCATGGGTTACTGAAGATCCATATTCTAACCCGGAAATTCACGGGTTTTTTACATCATTGGTATTGTCCGATTAATGAAGCATAGTTTTAATGACTGTAATTTATCTGTGCATGTGCAGTGAGTAGTTAAGTTACAGTAGCAGCAGGAACAAAACGTTCGTTGTTATAACGAGGAATGTAAGTAATGGTGTTACTCTCTATATTGGTTAAACAGACGTAAATTAAATAGCTTGAGGTCAGTTTTAATGTCTTATTACCAACTGTTCAAGTTTTCCACAATAATCTCTGTCAAATCGTGATTGAATATTCAGAAAGTTGACCCGAATGTATTTCTTACATTTCCGGGTACTCGACTCCGATTCGGGTACGTACATGCGGGTACTCGATTCCATTGTTTCCTACTCGTCCCAGCCCTACTGAATTCCTCATACATTTTAGAATCTAATTACAACTGGTCTTTTTGGCACCAATACCAAGTGTCTAGATAAAGTGAAACGAAAGATATTGGGGGTGCTCGAAAGACAACACCTGTTTGAAATGTAAACAAAGAAAATTTCAGACTTTACACTGTGTAGCATTTTCTCAAATTTTCAGACACCCATTTGCATGGAAAGAGCATAGTAGCAAGAAATGGGAAATTAAAAATAGATACAATACAGGAATGTGATGTGTTTACACGAAACTGTCAAGTTTCTGTGCTGCGTGACGCCATGACTGATGCAAGTGTTAAAAGATGAAACGTAGGCATCATGCATGTACTTGTACAACATGTATTTTAGTTCCTATGATGTGCATAGATACAGTTTCGTATGTAACTCTTCGTCAGAATAATTTCCAATATCGAAGTCCAGTCCACGATACACCCTATCCTTTCTTTGCTGAACTGGCATCATGAAAGCAGTGTTAGCCATGAACGCCATTTGCGAGTTAACCACACTGTTAAAAAGTTAGCGGCGGTCCTTAGGTGTGTTAACTTAACGTCACGTTAACAGCCTGTTAAAAGTTAACAGAGTTTTGAACAACAAGATAACCCTCTGTTATTAGGTAACAGTCGGTTAAATGTACTTAACGGCTGGTTAAAAGATAACCGAGTTTTGAACAACCGGGCCCTGATAGACGACAGTGTGTCTCTGTTAATGGAACATTATGAAAAACCAAATGTTACTGCAGGGGTTCCTCAAGGATCTGCCCTTGGTTAATTTGTGTTCCTTGTATATATCAATGATTTACCTGGAAATTTACAAAATATCACAATAATGTTGGCCGATGACACATCAATCGGTGTTGCGGGAAAATATGTAAAATCCATAGAAGCAACTCTCAACTATGATTTAGCCCAATTGAATAAATGGGCAGAAAAGTGGTGTGGTGTGTTCTAACGGTTATATCTAGCATACTTTAAGACATAGAGGGGGTGGTGGTGGTTCTAACGGTTATATCTCTAATACATGTAGAGGCGGGAGGCCTAACGGGTATGAACAACAATAAAAACTTTCATGCATTTATAACCCACATTTTCGAACCCTTTTATCGGTCTCTAAAAGGGAGCTGGCAATAGATTTTAATGAGCTTCGTCCTTCAAGCCTGAAAACCTTGTAATATGGTTGATTAATCCTTTGTCATTTATCAAAAAAAGTAGTGAGGTTGTGCTCTATTATTATAGATTTCTAAAATATATGGACACTATTGGGACGTTGGTAACTGTCATCAGACATTATTTGACGACATTTCTCATGGTTTGAATATAGCCGACTTTATAGAAGATAAATATCAGTTTACAACACAACTGCCTAAATCTTGGTATTTTCGGAACCAGAGAAGGAATATGCCGATATTTAGGTCGTTAACCTAGCATATTATGGTCACGAATATAATTTTCTATTTATTACCGAAGTCTTTAATTGCGGAAATTACGCGATAATCTACTTTCCATCAAAGGCAGGCTCCCCGCCATCGTTGTATTTAGAAGGCGGCTTCTTAGAAGCAACGTGACGTCATAACATTGTTCATGATGTCATGTCACCATGATAAAGTGATATTTTACCCGGTGCATATCGCATGAAAACAAATTATCCCCGATATGTTTGCCCTCGTAGGTTATAAGCATTGTTATGATCATTCGTTGAGGTTAATGCCACCCGTTGAATTCTTTGTTGTATTTTGAGCGGTGAAACTAAATAAATGATTTCTTTGGTCTACCCATAACAATTAAGGTGTCAACTTCCACTGTATACCTTACAGAAAGAAGTTTTGACTTTACTTTGATAACGAGCACATCTGATCGATTCCTTGAAGCAAATGATGCAATTCAATATCATTTCTACATTTTATTTTAAATGCATCAATCAAATACAACAAATGAGTAGACAGATTGACTGCTATGTGGCAAGGAATAACCAGGCGCCAGCGATTTATGATATTCTTAGCAAATGTAACTTAAAATTCCCTCTCATAAAAATACAATAATATATAGTAATATGATGAAGAAAATAATACGAACCAGGTTAAACTATGACAACGCAATATAAGAATGTATGATCGAAACATAAATCATAATAAATCACATATGATTAAAACATTAAATTAACTTCAAATATGTCATTGCGTCAACATTGAAAATAATTCGAAAATGAATAAAAAGAAACGTACATTTCAAAGCGTAAACAAACAATATCCTGTTATTTTGGGATATGCTATGAAGAACTTCAAAATGTAATAGAAATAACATTAAATTATTGAAAGCTATTGCTCGTAAAATATGTCCTTGCGTCAACATCGAAAATAACTCCATAATGAAAAACAATTAACTTTAATTTTCGAAACATACACAAATAATCTCTGGCTTTTTTAAGACGTGTCACGAATAATTTCACAGCTGGTAGAATTAGCATGAAATTATAGAAACCATTTGCTAACAAAAACTTGAAAATTAGTAATCACAAAGCGTCACAAACATAGCTATTACCCCCGCCACATGTCTATATCTGAATGTCGCAATTATCCTCTGTCTGACCCTGAAAATTATGTAAACGTTACCGAAACTGTCATCTGATGCCTTGATTCAAAATGCGAACAAATTCCATCCATTAAGTTTGGAGATATCGCAAGAATACTCGCTGTGACCTTGAAAATAATCCGAAGGTCACTGAATTCGACTGGCGTTAGACGATACTCCCAACGCATCTTGGTACTACCTTTAAGCAAAACATATTAATTCTGTCTTGTATTTTCGCACTAAAAGGTTAGACATGTGCAAAACACTTTTCACTGTGAACTTAAAATGAGCACAAGTTTCCCAATCAATTGGTGTTGGGGGAATCCCGCCAATACACCTTGATATAAAATTGGATCAAAATCTATTAATACTTTCCTGAGTTCGCGGCTACCAAGCTTGGCATGTGCAAAACTGTTACACCTTCGCTGTGACCTTTAAAATGACTTCAAGGTCACTAAATTCAAGTGGTGTCGGTAAATCTCGTCAAATAAACCTTGGTACCAAATTTGAACAAAATCCATCATTTCTTTCTCGAGTTCTTTCAGTAAACAGAATGGGGAGTCATTTGAACAAGCGATTGTAGTTTTGAAATTGCCTTTTGTGCAGTTTAATATCTACGTTTGATTCTAGCCGACTTCTACCAATCTCAAACATAGCATATTTTGTTTCCTGAAGTTTGTGATGCATTTTATTGCAGATTTTACGTTTTTTGGGAGTACCAAGCCAAGATACAAAGTCTCACAAAATGGGGATCGTGAGGCTGCAACATAGCAAAACCAATTTGCTTGAGGCTGACAGATAATATGTAGAAAAATAAAACATAAAAACAGCTGCATTTGTATTATATTCTAGGTGAGGCTGACTACTATTTGAACGTCCCTCGTAGTTATACCCGTTAGAACACCCACCCACCTCTCCGACTCTACATGCATGCAAGTGTGTTAGATATACCCGTTAGAAACCCACCCCTACCCCACCCCCACTTTATATGTATACATATCAAAACCTCAAAAGATATTTGCGAAAAGACATGATACAGAGGACAGATTATATCGATTATATATCAGGACGAATATAATTTTCGTCATTTAGCTAAGATTTGTCAATTCTTTCTTGGGTTATCGCGCTAACAATCTTTATGTTGGCAAAACCCTCAGATTTTTGCTGTGACCTTGAAAATTATCTCAAGGTCACTCCATTTCACTTGTGTCGGTGAATCTCGCCAATATACTTTGGTACCAAATTTGAACAAAATCCATCATTTCTTTCTTGAGTTATCGCCCTAACAAGCTTATTTGATGTATGAAATGCAACGAAAACAAACACCCGCGTATTTACGAGTGATTAAAACTGTTATTACAATTTACGTAAATATTTATTACATTTTACCGCAACGAAAATTATTACAATTTACGTCAATTTTTATTACAATTTGCGTATTACAATTTACGTCAATTTTTATTACAATTTACGTTTTTATTACAATTTACGTCAAGTTTATTACAATTTGCTGCAAGTATTACAATTTGCGTTTTATTACAATTTACGTCGTAACAATATCAACTACATAAATTGTAGAGATAAATGAGAAAATACAGTTTTTTTCTATTTCCGACAGTACTTTAGTGCTTACTTTTGCCGGATTCGGGACGAAATAGAATGAGAACCATTTTGTTCATGGCAACGGCTCTTCCAATCTCGTATCCTACTCCGAGTGACGCTTGCGTGACTTCTACTATGAGTGCTGGAACACAGAGAGAACGAAATGTGATAAAGGGAAATATTGGAATTTCAGCTTTACTCTGTCTCCCCTTAAATATTCTTCAAAGACAACATACGGGCTAGAACTGGTCTTCAACAACCCATGCTTGTCGCAAAAGGAGGCTTAAGGGATTGGGTAGTCAGGCTCGCTGAAATGGTTGACACATGGCATCGTATCCTTCTTGTGTAGATCGATGCGTATGCTGTTGATCACTAGATTGTCTGGTTCAGACTCAATTATTAGGACGCTATGTAGGTGGGATATCGTTGAGTGCGGCGTTAAACAACAAACAAATCCTTCAAACGCAAATACATTTACAGAAGGCGTGTGCAGCTATCACTCTGCAGTTCACAAAAGTTGATTTATTTACAGGCATGACAGAATTCCATTATTGTGCGTAGTAACCCTGGAGGCCGGGTTTGGATAAAGCTGGTTCCAGGACGCTTTGCGCGTCGTCAACTGGCGACATGAGAGACGGGACCCAGCTTAGGATTGGACATACTTGTGACGTCATCAGGCGCATGCGTACTGGTACATACGACAATGAAAGTTCTGAGCAGTATTCGTTTCAGCTACGCATTTAGAAAATACTTGAAATTACGGATTATAAGTGGATCATTTATCCGAAAGCACATTATTTTACCAGTGTGAATACATACATTCCGAGTTCTCAGAAGCAGTCAATAAATATTTGAAAATCCCATCATGTATTTTCTGACGATTTTATATCACGTCATCTTTCATTATTCGTGGCAGCCGACAAAGAGTTATAAAATGGAACAGGTGGCTTCAAGTGAAACCCCCTTTATGTCCCTGTCACTATGACAAATAAGACACGCCCCGGGATTGTTATATTGTAGTTATAACACCAGACGTATATTACCATCACATTCCTTAAGCCAAGCGATGTCTCGGTCGTGATTAGCTTTGGGCGCCAGGTCCTTCTCCTCTGTAAACAATGGAGACAGTATGATGACGTATACAGTAGGGGTGGGTATTGCAGAGAATTTTCATATTGCGATATATTGCGATGCGGAAGCATATATTGCGATATGTATTGCAATATATTGCAAGGATTATTTTTTTAACAAAAACTACTTATAATCGAGTTAATGCTTGATTATAAGCAAAAACACAACAAAATCACTATGATTGATTAACCGTTTATAAAAACTTTTAATCATGACAAAATAAAATGTAATTAACATTTGGCACAAAAGAAACACGGAAAAGAACAATTCAAAAAACGGAAATATCCGAAGATTTCCGAGTGTTACGAAGTTTTCCGAATGCATGTCAAAATACCGGTTTTCGAACAGCGTATCGCAATACGTATCGTTTTCATGTCTGAACCGGTAAATACCGGTAAATACTGGTAAACCGGTTATATTGCGCAGCCCTAGTATACAGTATGATGACGTATACAGGACTACTATAATTTGCTTGATGGTTTGTTATATACCTTGTAGAAACTGGTGTACCCCTGTCATTTCCCCACATGCTTGACAACGGTATAAGGATCTATACCGAAACGTCGCCATTGTTAAAATAAGTAAGTTGATTATCCATTAAGTTTTGTCATCTCTATACCATCAACTTCTAGAATGTCACTTAAACAAACAAAATAGTTGGTTTGTTGTTACAGATACACTGCGGTGGTCTGGAAATGATCCGGACCAGACAACCCAGTGATTGACACCACAAATTTGGATAGACAGGCATCAACCAAGTCAGCGAGCCTGACCACCCGATCTCGTAGTCTTGTCTTACGCAAGCATGGATTGCTGAAGATTGGTTCCAAGCGGGATCTGAACGGGTTTACCAGAATATCCCCGATGGCAATATTGACTGGTACATATGGAGCTCAGTGGAACGTTAACTGACTGACTGACTGAGTTTAGTTTTACGCCGCTTTTAGCAATATTCCAGCAATATCACGGCGGGGGACACCAGAAATGGGCTTAACCATTGTGCCATTGTGGGGAATCGAACCCGGGTCTTCGGCGTGACGAGCCAACACTTTAACCACTAGGTTACCCCATCGCCCCTGGAACGTTAACCACACCATGAGACGATGATAACAGTAAACCCTCTGGCCTCATCAAAAGAGCTTGTATTGTTTGTTCTTTAGGTGATAAATGAAATTCAAGCTTCGAATGCATCATCATTACTATTATCAAAATTATTAATACTTGTTGCGAAGCCTGATCAGGTTAGAACTGGTCTTCAGCAAGCCATGCTTGTCGTAAGACGCGACTAACGGGATCGGGTGGTCAGGCTCGCTGACTTGGTTGACACATGTCATCATATCCCAATCCTGTAGATCGATGCTGTTGATCAATGGGATGTCTGGACTCGATTATTTACAGACCGCCACCATTTAGGAGGACTTTTACTGAATGTCGCTTTAAACAACAAATAAACAAAACAAACAAACAAACGATGTCATATATGCTGTCTGCAACGGTTCTGACAAGCTGAAAACCACCTAAAGATAATAACTGACTGACTGACTGACTGAGTTTGGTTTTACGCCGCTTTTATCAATATTCAAGCAATATCACGGCGGGGGAAACCAGAAATGGGCTTCACTCATTGTACCCATGTGAGGATTCGAACCAGGGTCTTCGGCGTGACGAGCGAACGCTTTAACCACTAGGCTATCCCACCGCCCCTAAAGACAATCACAACAACAACAATTGCCGCATGCAGGGGATGCATTTTGCATCTTGAAGAACGTTACTTTCTACAGCATCTTGGTCGCCGACGTATTTGGTGAGAACGCTTCCATAGGCCTCGAGTTGGGCGATGATCCTGGCATACAGGTCGCAGTCCTGTCTTCCCGCACTGATGCTGCCGCCGAAATACAGCTTCCTCATGATTCTGAAACAGACGGTGAGTGAGTGAGTGAGTTTATGTGGGACAAAAGCATGAAGTGACATTTGACATATTTAACACTTTATATTTAAATTAAATTTATATGAAGCTCACCAGCATGGGTTCTGTAAAGACAAACCGAGAAACATAATTGGGGCGAACCGAAAGTCGATGATAGGTTTATAGCCGGACAAAGGGACACAACTCTGCACAACGAATTCTGGCGCTCTGGACTTCAGTCTCGTCCTCTGTGGTCCAGTGTTCTTGGCATCCTATTGGCATCCTCTGTGGTCCCGTGTTCTTGGCATCCTCTGTGGTCCTGTGTTCTTGGCATCCTCTGTGGTCCTGTGTTCTTGACATCATCTGTGGTCCAGTGTTCTTGGCATCCCCTGTGGTCCAGTGTTCTTGGCATCCTATTGGCATCCTCTGTGGTCCCGTGTTCTTGACATCCTCTGTGGTCCCGTGTTCTTGACATCCTCTGTGGTCCCGTGTTCTTGGCATCCTCTGTGGTCCTGTGTTCTTGGCATCCTCTGTGGTCCTGTGTTCTTGGCATCCTATTGGCATCCTCTGTGGTCCCGTGTTCTTGGCATCCTCTGTGGTCCCGTGTTCTTGGCATCCTCTGTGGTCCCGTGTTCTTGACATCATCTGTCGTCCTGTGTTCTTGGCATCCTCTGTGATCCTGTGTTCTTGACATCATCTGTGGTCCAGTGTTCTTGGCATCCCCTGTGGTCCAGTGTTCTTGGCATCCTATTGGCATCCTCTGTGGTCCCGTGTTCTTGGCATCCTCTGTGGTCCCGTGTTCTTGACATCCTCTGTGGTCCTGTGTTCTTGACATCATCTGTGGCCCAGTGTTCTTGGCATCCCCTGTGGTCCAGTGTTCTTGGCATCCCCTGTGGTCCAGTGTTCTTGGCATCCTCTGTGGTCCAGTGTTCTTGGCATCCCTGTCATCCAGTGTTCTTGGCATCCTCTGTGGTCCGGAGTTCTTGACATCCTCTGTAGTCCAGTGCTCTTGACATCCTCTGTAGTCCAGTGTTCTTGACATCCTCTGTAGTCCAGTGTTCCTGACACCCTTTGTAGTCCAGTGTTCCTGACATCGTCTGTAGTCCAGTGTTCCTGACACCCTTTGTAGTCCAGTGTTCTTGACATCCTCTGTAGTCCAGTGTTCCTGACACCCTTTGTAGTTCAGTGTTCTGACATCCTCTGTAGTCCAGTGTTTTTGGCATCCTCTGGAGTCCAGTGTTCCTGACATCATCTGTAGTCCAGTGTTCCTGACATCCTCTGGAGTCCAGTGTTCTTGGCATCCTCTATAATCCAGTGTTCCTGACATCCTCTGTAGTCCAGTGTTCTTGACATCCTCTGTAGTCCAGTATTCTTGACATCCTCTGTAGTCCAGTGTTCCTGACATCCTCTGTAGTCCAGTGTTCTTGACATCGTCTTTAGTCCAGTGTCCTTGACATCCTCTGTAGTCCAGTGTTCTTGACATCGTCTTTAGTCCAGTGTCCTTGACATCCTCTGTAGTCCAGTATTCTTGACATCCTCTGTAGTGTAGTCCAGTGTTCTTGACATCGTCTTTAGTCCAGTGTCCTTGACATCCTCTGTAGTCCAGAATTCTTGACATCCTCTGTAGTCCAGTGTTCTTGACATCCTCTGTAGTCCAGTGTCCTTGACATCCTCTGTAGTCCAGTGTTCCTGACATCCTCTGTAGTCCAGTGTTCTTGACATCGTCTTTAGTCCAGTGTCCTTGACATCCTCTGTAGTCCAGTGTTCTTGACATCCTCTGTAGTCCAGTGTTCTTGACATCCTCTGTAGTCCAGTGTTCTTGACATCCTCTGTAGTCCAGTGTTCTTGACATCCTCTGTGGTCCAGTGTTCTTGGCATCCTATTGGCATCCTCTGTGGTCCCGTGTTCTTGGCATCCTCTGTGGTCCCGTGTTCTTGACATCCTCTGTGGTCCCGTGTTCTTGACATCCTCTGTGGTCCCGTGTTCTTGGCATCCTCTGTGGTCCTGTGTTCTTGGCATCCTCTGTGGTCCTGTGTTCTTGGCATCCTATTGGCATCCTCTGTGGTCCCGTGTTCTTGGCATCCTCTGTGGTCCCGTGTTCTTGGCATCCTCTGTGGTCCCGTGTTCTTGACATCATCTGTCGTCCTGTGTTCTTGGCATCATCTGTGATCCTGTGTTCTTGACATCATCTGTGGTCCAGTGTTCTTGGCATCCCCTGTGGTCCAGTGTTCTTGGCATCCTATTGGCATCCTCTGTGGTCCCGTGTTCTTGGCATCCTCTGTGGTCCCGTGTTCTTGACATCCTCTGTGGTCCTGTGTTCTTGACATCATCTGTGGCCCAGTGTTCTTGGCATCCCCTGTGGTCCAGTGTTCTTGGCATCCCCTGTGGTCCAGTGTTCTTGGCATCCTCTGTGGTCCAGTGTTCTTGGCATCCCTGTCATCCAGTGTTCTTGGCATCCTCTGTGGTCCGGAGTTCTTGACATCCTCTGTAGTCCAGTGCTCTTGACATCCTCTGTAGTCCAGTGTTCTTGACATCCTCTGTAGTCCAGTGTTCCTGACACCCTTTGTAGTCCAGTGTTCCTGACATCGTCTGTAGTCCAGTGTTCCTGACACCCTTTGTAGTCCAGTGTTCTTGACATCCTCTGTAGTCCAGTGTTCCTGACACCCTTTGTAGTTCAGTGTTCTGACATCCTCTGTAGTCCAGTGTTTTTGGCATCCTCTGGAGTCCAGTGTTCCTGACATCATCTGTAGTCCAGTGTTCCTGACATCCTCTGGAGTCCAGTGTTCTTGGCATCCTCTATAATCCAGTGTTCCTGACATCCTCTGTAGTCCAGTGTTCTTGACATCCTCTGTAGTCCAGTATTCTTGACATCCTCTGTAGTCCAGTGTTCTGACATCCTCTGTAGTCCAGTGTTCTTGACATCGTCTTTAGTCCAGTGTCCTTGACATCCTCTGTAGTCAAGTGTTCTTGACATCGTCTTTAGTCCAGTGTCCTTGACATCCTCTCTGTAGTCCAGTATTCTTGACATCCTCTGTAGTCTGTTCTTGACATCGTCTTTAGTCCAGTGTCCTTGACATCCTCTGTAGTCCAGAATTCTTGACATCCTCTGTAGTCCAGTGTTCTTGACATCCTCTGTAGTCCAGTGTCCTTGACATCCTCTGTAGTCCAGTGTTCTTGACATCCTCTGTAGTCCAGTGTTCTTGACATCCTCTGTAGTCCAGTGTTCTTGACATCCTCTGTAGTCCAGTGTTCTTGACATCCTCTGTGGTCCAGTGTTCTTGGCATCCTCTGTATCCTCTCTGTGGTCCCGTGTTCTTGGCATCCTCTGTGGTCCAGTGTTCTTGACATCCTCTGTGGTCCCGTGTTCTTGACATCCTCTGTGGCCCGTGTTCTTGGCATCCTCTGTGGTCCTGTGTTCTTGGCATCCTCTGTGGTCCTGTGTTCTTGGCATCCTCTGTGGTCCCGTGGCATCCTCTGTGGTCCCGTGTTCTTGGCATCTTGGCATCTCTGTGGTCCATCCTGTTCTTGGCATCCTCTGTGGTCCCGTGTTCTTGATCATCATCTGTCGTCCTGTGTTCTTGGCATCCTCTGTGATCCTGTGTTCTTGACATCATCTGTGGTCCAGTGTTCTTGGCATCCCCTGTGGTCCAGTGTTCTTGGCATCCTATTGGCATCCTCTGTGGTCCCGTGTTCTTGGCATCCTCTGTGGTCCCGTGTTCTTGACATCCTCTGTGGTCCTGTGTTCTTGACATCATCTGTGGCCCAGTGTTCTTGGCATCCCCTGTGGTCCAGTGTTCTTGGCATCCCCTGTGGTCCAGTGTTCTTGGCATCCTCTGTGGTCCAGTGTTCTTGGCATCCCTGTCATCCAGTGTTCTTGGCATCCTCTGTGGTCCGGAGTTCTTGACATCCTCTGTAGTCCAGTGTTCTTGACATCCTCTGTAGTCCAGTGTTCTTGACATCCTCTGTAGTCCAGTGTTCCTGACACCCTTTGTAGTCCAGTGTTCCTGACATCGTCTGTAGTCCAGTGTTCCTGACACCCTTTGTAGTCCAGTGTTCTTGACATCCTCTGTAGTCCAGTGTTCCTGACACCCTTTGTAGTTCAGTGTTCTGACATCCTCTGTAGTCCAGTGTTTTGGCATCCTCTGGAGTCCAGTGTTCCTGACATCATCTGTAGTCCAGTGTTCCTGACATCCTCTGTAGTCCAGTGTTCTTGGCATCCTCTATAATCCAGTGTTCCTGACATCCTCTGTAGTCCAGTGTTCTTGACATCCTCTGTAGTCCAGTATTCTTGACATCCTCTGTAGTCCAGTGTTCCTGACATCCTCTGTAGTCCAGTGTTCTTGACATCGTCTTTAGTCCAGTGTCCTTGACATCCTCTGTAGTCCAGTGTTCTTGACATCGTCTTTAGTCCAGTGTCCTTGACATCCTCTGTAGTCCAGTATTCTTGACATCCTCTGTAGTGTAGTCCAGTGTTCTTGACATCGTCTTTAGTCCAGTGTCCTTGACATCCTCTGTAGTCCAGTATTCTTGACATCCTCTGTAGTCCAGTGTTCTTGACATCCTCTGTAGTCCAGTGTCCTTGACATCCTCTGTAGTCCAGTGTTCCTGACATCCTCTGTAGTCCAGTGTTCTTGACATCGTCTTTAGTCGAGTGTCCTTGACATCCTCTGTAGTCCAGTGTTCTTGACATCCTCTGTAGTCCAGTGTTCTTGACATCCTCTGTAGTCCAGTGTTCTTGACATCCTCTGTAGTCCAGTGTTCTTGACATCCTCTGTAGTCCAGTATTCTTGACATCCTCTATAGTCCAGTGTTCCTCACATCCTCTGTAGTCCAGTGTCCTTGACATCCTCTGTAGTCCAGTGTCCTTGACATCCTCTGTAGTCCAGTGTTCCTGACACCCTCTGTAGTCCAGTGTCCTTGACATCCTCTGTTGTCCAGTGTCCTTGACATCCTCTGTAGTCCAGTGTGCTTGACATCCACTGTGGTCCGGTGTTCGTGGCAAAAATTCAGTCTTAAACATCAATAATGTTTAAAATGACATTACATGAAATGGAGACTATAGTTGTCGTGAGTATTCCTATGGTAAATATAACTTATATTATGCACCATGTATATAGCATCCGGCAGGCAAGGTGTCCGGATAAGCGAGGTTCAACTGACATGTCATGTGTCATTCATATCCTTGCTGAAGGACCCGTGTGATAGATACAATATTGTGGATACAGGCGGTGACAAATCAGTATGTGCGATGTAGAATGTCAGGATGACATAGCGGAATTGTACATCCAGATCGCCAGTTCATTGACATCGTTATGCATATCGGAGTATCCTGACATCAGCAGCTTGACAATGTCGGCGCGTCATGTCATGAGCTCCACTGAAAGAACGTGTATAAAAAATATACCCACCAGATAGCACCACACAGCAATCACTTCAGGTGACTTGACCCAGGAGATAATGTAATATAGTCTTCAGTTTATGGGGAAAGGCCGCGTTATTCAAGATCTTTGTAGGTCACGTGTCAGACAGATAGGTAGGTATTTAACCTATAAACCTATATATACACAAGGGTGCCGTTGTACAAAGCAGCTTTAGCTCTACGCCAGTCGTAAGTGAGTGAGTTTTACGCCCCACTCAGCAATATTCCAGCTTTATGGCGGTGGTCTGTAAATAATCGAGTCTGGACCAGACAATCCAGCGATCAACATCATGAGCATCGATCTACGCAATTGGGAACCGATGATATCTGTCAACCAAGTCAGCGTGCCTGGCCACCCGATCCCGTTAGTCGCCTCTTACAACAAGCATGGGTTACTGAAAACCAATTGTAACCCGGATGTTCACGGGTCCCAGTCGTAAGTCAATGTTAAGCTATGGGACTTACGATCTCAAGATAGCTTTGTACAAGAAAGATAGCCTACAAAGATAGTTTTGTAAAAGAAGTTAAGCGCCCAGTAATGTTTACAAACATGTATGATTCAGCTAACATCGGGGGTGTCCACGCACAGGTGATTGTTGTTCTGTCAGAGCTAGTCTTGAGTAGAAGAAAACACAACAAGGGCAGTTTCCTTCAACGTTTTAATGACACAACACATTTTTTAAAACAAGATTACAAGCTTTTACCTTCTGGCCGCCGCTACACAGTGCCAATCACCAAGACTAAACGAGCTCGAACGTCGTTTGTACCTTAAAGTATGTCCAGTTATCATCTTATTCATTTAATTATTTTTAAGCACATGTTTATCTCTTTTTGTTTTTAATAATTTTATATTTTACGTTGTTATTCATTTGTATTTTTGCCAAGCTCTGTGATCCAAAACGAATTCCTTTGAAGGTAATAAAGTATTGTCTGTCTGCCTGTTTATGATGGATATCGCACAAATCATCTGTTTGAGCCATAAATGATACGTGTTACAGGGTTGTAGCTATAGTGGGGATCGGGCATCACGGCGTGCATTTCATAAGACCAGAACGTTTATTTGTGAGCGTGGATAACTGAATGTACCCTGCGTCGCATACCCCCTGTCAATAGTCGTGTCCGTCGCAGAGTGAGTGAGTGAGTGAGTGAGTCTTGCTCATGGGGGTTCAGGACTGGAGTCACAGGGGGCATTTTGCTGAATGAAAGCTGTCATTGCACGTGAACAACGTGGCATTCCGTTGCCATGCATGCAAGTCTCATCTTGTAGCGAGAGGATGTCTATCAAAACAGGGTCAACAAGAGTTACTGGATTCACTTCCTGGATATACTGATCACCTGTCAAATTCCCAGTATTGTCACCAAGTCAAGGTTACACATGACGGTGAGAGACACATCCCCACACCATGGCGGAACCTCCACCAAAGGCAACATTTGGTTGAATGTTAACGTTATTGCAGCAAATACTGTATTTCTCTGCCTCCACATCCCCACACCATGGCGGAACCTCCACCAAAGGCAACATTTGGTTGAATGTTAACGTTATTGCAGCAAATACTGTATTTCTCTGCCTCCACATCCCCACACCATGGCGGAACCTCCAACAAAGGCAACATTTGGTTGAATGTTAACGTTATTGCAGCAAATACTGTATTTCTCTGCCTCCACATCCCCACACCATGGCGGAACCCTCAACAAGGGAAACATTTGGTTGAATGTTAACGTTATTGCAGCAAATACTGTATTTCTCTGCCTCCACATCCCCACACCATGGCGGAACCTCCAACAAAGGCAACATTTGGTTGAATGTTAACGTTATTGCAGCAAATACTGTATTTCTCTGCCTCCACATCCCCACACCATGGCGGAATCTCCAACAAAGGCAACATTTGGTTGAATGTTAACGTTATTGCAGCAAATACTGTATTTCTCTGCCTCCACATCACCACACCATGGCGGAACCTCCACCAAAGGCAACATTTGGTTGAATGTTAACGTTATTGCAGCAAATACTGTATTTCTCTGCCTCCAAACCCCCACACCATGTCGGAACCTCCACCAAAGGAAACATTTGGTTGAATGTTAATTTTATTGCAGCAAATACTGTATTTCTCTGCCTCAACATCCCCACACCATGGCGGAACTTCCACCAAATGCAACATTTGGTTGAATGTTAACGTTATTGCAGCAAATACTGTATTTCTCTGCCTCCACATCCCCACACCATGTCGGAACCTCCACCAAATGCAACATTTGGTTGAATGTTAACGTTATTGCAGCAAATACTGTATTTCTCTGCCTCCAAACTCTCATTACTTACATGCAGAAGGAATCGTCTTTCACCAGACCAATGTACACTTCGCAAAATCCTCACATTCCAGCGCTGCCGTGGTACACACCACGGTGGTGATGATCGCTCAGTAGAGGACGTTCGATGACCTTTCTAGACTGACTGACTGAGTTTGGTTTTACGCCGCTTTTAGCAATATTCCAGCAACATCACGGCGGGGGACACCAGAAATGGGCTTCACACATTGTACTCATGTGGGGATTCGAACCCGGGTCTTCGGCGTGACGAGCCAACGCTTTAACCATTAGGCTACCCCACCGCCCTGACCCTTCTAGAGTTGTGCCCGGCTCTCCTTAGGTGATTTCGGACTGTTCTCGCAGAAATGGTAACCAGTGGTGCTTCATAACAGTGCTTGTGGCGAATGGTTGTCGTCGAATGAGATTTAATGACAGTGCCCTGTCTTCATCATCTGACGTCACCATACCTTAGGTCGTCCTTCGCCTCATTGGTATCCCTGTATTTTCTGACCAAACGACTGACAACTGTGTAGTGGACATTCATTTCCCGCCAGTTGCTTAAAGGACATACCGGGGTTATGTTTACCACTAATTCGCCATCTCTGGCCTTAATGATCCGTAAAGGTCCGGGTTAGAATGAGCCTTCAGTAACCCATGCTTGTCATAAGAGGCGACTAACGGGATCGGGTGGTCAGGCTCGCTGGCTTGGTTGACACATGTCATCGGTTCCCAGTTGCGCAGATCGATGCTCATGCTGTTGATCACTGGATTGTCTGGTCCGCCGCCAATTAGCTGGAATATTGCTGAGTGAGGCGTAAAACCAAACTCACTCACTCACTCTGGCCTTAATGGCAGAAAAATGAATGAACATTGTAACATATGTAGATTAACATGCAGACGTGGCACGAGCATTAACTTTGTCATGGTAATCTTATAAACGTCCATATCATAGGTTACAATAATTATGCTAAAACAAATAATAATTTTCTTGTGATGAAAGCATCTGTCAACATAGTCACTTTTGATAGAATCACCTAATCGTGTTCTTACAACAGGGGTGATGTTGAAACTGGACTTAGGATATACCTCTCTGAGAAGAAAATTGTATATGACAAACCATCCATGTTTGAGTTCAAATCAGATATTTCTCATAAGATATGCCCAATTTAATAAAAATATGTAAATTGAAATAACAATCAGGGTTCGTAGGAAGCTGAGGTGAGAGGTTACAAATTTACGTCCTTTTGGTGAAGAAACAGTTCATTAGTTCAATATACATGTGTATACAAGTGGAAAATATAACAATATATAATCCTATTGTACCTGATCAGACTAAACTCAACTGACTGAAACCTGGGGTACATGCCAAATGAGGTAGGACCCTCAGACCAGTGTATAAAATAGTTGTGAAATGTGGCCTGTCCAAGGACTTCTGTCCCCAAAAATAACCAGTCCTGAACAAACACATCCAGTCCCAAAAACTAAAACGATGAAAACTCATCAAATGTGACACGAGAACGAGAAAGAGCATGATTGCGAAGACAAAGTTCAAACCAAGTTAAGTTTATGTTTTACAAATATTTCCCCGACAAAAGGACGACCTTTACTTATTTAAGACCGTCATTCACAAAAATAGACCGTCAAGGACGGTGGGACGAGCTATATTTTATACACTGCCTTCGACTAACATCACGTTAATCCGGTCTTCATCAAACGTGATTTGACTATCAAACAGTCCACCCCAGCTTCCCTGTTCGCTTCAAAACGACGACTAACAACACGTCGACTGTTAGATTGTGTAAGACACAGCATGCCTTGTCGCATCCAGCTGAATTAAATGGTCGTCACGCTCCAGTAGTTGTTCTTTGCTCGCTCATTCACAGAAGTCGGTCAACGTGGAGGCACATCTGGGCAACCACAACTCCACATCGTTCACTGACACCTTCGAACCCAATAGTCGGAGTCGTTGAAATGGGGCAAAGGATCAAACATTTACCTGTACCAGCATTCTTCACCCATAAGGATTAAATCATCCAATACATCCTAACTCCCCTCCAAAAAAACCCCGACAAAAAACAAACCCCGAAACACCCCCAAAAACACAAAAAAAACCCCCAAAAACACAACAAAACAAAACAAAACCAAAAAAACCCAAGTGTTTGCCACTGATATGGCAGTGTCCCCGGCCCCTAAAGAATGGAATATCTATATACTACTTTTTTATTTTTGGTCACACACAAGATGCCTGAAATGACTGGTGTCTGCATAATCACCCAATGTAAGCTGTCAACATAACTGAAAACATTGGGTACAACAGTTCATGAGATATCGCGTTTAAATAAGTTTGAACAGCAGTCAAAGTGTCGTGGTGACCTTGACGAATAGTCAAGGTCACCCAAATCGACTTGTGTCTGGGTAATCCCCCAATGTAGGCTGTCACCAAATTTGAAGACATTGGGTACAACAGTTCATGAGATATCGCGTTAACAAGAATCGGGATGTACGAACGTACCTACGGACAGACACTGCTGAATACATAGTCACCCGTTCCGCGTTGTGGCGGGGGAGAAAAAAACAAAAAAAAACAAAACAAAAACACCCCCCCCAAAAAAAAACAACCGAACAAAAATAAAAAAAACACCC